CACCTGGTGTGAACATAGAAGTCTAACTACAATTCCAGCCTGCTCCACAAAACCACATGCCAGGCATGGATCCGAATATTCGAGCAGATATCTTACATCGTCCAGGTCATTTCAGTGCTCTTACCTTTGCGGACAATTCCTGGATCCTATGGGACAATTGCAGTAGGGTGCACACAGCGGGGAAATATCGACTCTTTCTATCACCAAGCGGTGGAGGATCACTCGGTCTGGCTCGTCCATCAGGAAGCATATGTCGATGAGCACTTGCAAGCACTGCACCCCCCGGATTAGCAATCCGCAGCTGATTCTACCACAAACAGTGAAAGGACCTCTCCAGAGGATGGTGGTTGTGCCCTCCCATTGTGTCGTCGCACAGGTACAGCTCGGTTGGCATGTACACGGCATAGCCTCGCTCCGGACGCTATGAAGGGATGGTCGCTCCCGGACTCTCCCACGAAAATTGCATTCCCTTGTCTTGTGCCCCTGCCGCCCTCCTCCCCTGATTACATGCCCAGCATGCCGTTGTGGCCTTGATCTGCCATGCTTAAATAACTGTGCACGCCAGCCTTCCATACTGATGACGTGTGAGTGACATGGCATGTGTCGTCAGTATTTCCAGGAAGCTGTCATAGAAAGTATGTGTCTTTACTGCGTGGACTATCCCCGGCCGCCATCATCCGCCACATCCTCTCCTAGCATGCCCCACATGCGGTGTCGGTCGTCCACCTACAGTATACCGCGACGGATCTCTGTCTTCCTTGCCAGACGAACGGCGGACACAGCAGCCCGACAAGGGAAATAGACTTCAAGTTCTTCTATATGAGTCACCTGCAGAGCGAGTGCTAATCGTTTATCACCACCAGGGCGAGCTGTTGCGGACCAAATCCTGCAGCAGCTGAACACCCTTGCTTTGGACCAGTCCTCCCTGTCGTCGTCTGGCCATAGAGAGGGAATAAATACTGAGGAAACCCAAGAAAGATGCTGCATGCCGCTTTGTGATGACCCGCCGGAGATTCCACTAGTATGCGGCTCGCATGCCTTGTGCTGTGAGGATTATGAAGGGATAGTCCATGCGAGGTTTTTTTAACTTTTTTTCGCTTTCATACGTACACTGACAGTCGGGTAACCGTACTCATGTTGGGCACCCTGACTTGTCATGTCCAATTTGTAGACAGGGGCTGGGACGGCGATGCCTCTATAACTGCGGTCGACGTGCCTCCGACTTTCCGAGCATGTAGGAGCCACGTACCCTGTGACATCTGTCTGCACCGCGCCATTCGATGCAGCAACTGCGATTGCGAAAATTGGATTTCGGTGCTTCCACCGTCCACACCCGAACCGGTCCTCTGTCCGGTCTGTAGGGGTGGCCACTTACCATAGGCAATAGCTGCTGCTCATCTCGAAATCGTATGCAACACACACACTAACTGATCTCATGTGCCATTCTAGAGTAGTAGTCTGCTCCAGCGGTGAGTATTTAGAATTCTGCGAAGTTTGTCATATACCTCTCCGCTGCCCTTTGCATGTCCTAGTCTATCCTGCGCTTTGCACTCCACTTCCCCTACCCCACATGACAGATTAGTTTCTCCATTCTTGTCAGGGGCTTGGACTGTCAGTCTAGGATAGTGGGGATGGGTGTGAGTAAAGTTGACCACTTGCCTCAGGGGTATCTATATAACTCTCGGCGACGTGGTGAGGCCCTCCATATCCATCAGTCGAATGCATCGCGGGCAGACTGTCAGGGTTCAACCTCCCTATGAGTTGGTGAAAGCCCGCCGAAAGAGTCTGGCACAGCAATGTTTTTTCCCTCTCTGGAGTTGTGTATAGCAAACCTGGCGACACACACACAAACGTTGAGGAAGATGAGACTGAAAAATTGCCAAAATGGGGGGGCACAAAATGTTTTGGGCCCTCCTTGGGCAGACCACCCACAGTAGATCCAACCTGAGAGCACCCCAGTATACTGACCGGCGGAGCGGTGGAGATCGCTTTCTTTCCCTCTTTTGGGGCAACTGAAGATATCTGGGCAGGATTCTGGTGGTTTAGTAATAAGTTAACAGTGGGGCGAAGGGAAAAAAAAAAAAAAAAAAAAAAAAAAGGGACAGTCTGATAAGCAGAAGATTTGTGCCAGCAGGAAAAAAAAATGGAAAAAAAAGGGTGATAGACTGATAGTGCAGTGTTTCAATTATATTTGTTTTGAAGGGCAGCGACCTCGGGATATCGTCAGAGGAGCTGAGCGGCCCCATGCAATCCAGAATATTGTTTCATTAATCTGGCTCCATCGTGTGGACTTGAACTTGGGTCTGTATTGCAACAGTTCTTGGGTGTACCAACTGAGCTAGGCTCATTGATGCACTGTGCAATATTTGTTTTCTTTTGGGCAAATTTTCGAAATGCCCCTCCGACTTCCATTTCTTTGCAGTATGCCTGTTGCATACTGTAACGTGCAGACCAAAACAAGAACCGACCTTTCAATACAAAGTATAAGACAGCACAATGGAAGACTTAGATACCAGTGATCCGAACAATCAGTGTTGCAATGCAGCCCTGAACATACATCATCATCATCGTTACATGGTGTGAATGGGGCCTGGCGCTTCACACAGGAAGACTGCGCCAGCCCATACCATACACAGACGAAGAGGAAGGGGATAGACGAAGAGGAGGGGGAAGATGGGAATGTCGTCAACACCAAGTCTTCGGCACAAGCCCAAATAGTCCCTCGTCGAAATGTCTGAATCCCAAATGTCAAGTCTGGATCCAATGTCGTCAAGTCTCAAGTCACAACTCTGTCTCTCTCTATCGTAGTCTGAGAAGTCAGGTGGCAAGAGGGTGAGAAGAGAAGGTGGACTTAGAAGAGGAGAAGAAGAACTCTCTCTCTCTCTCTCTCTCTCTCTCTCTCTCTCTCTCTCTCTCTCTCTCTCTCTCTCTCTCTCTCTCTGTCCAGTACTAACCTGTGAAGTTGGCGCCTTGATGCAGGTACCTCGAAGATGGAGCTGGAGCTATGGCGCCACAGGTAAGTCTCGCTGGCCTCCGCCAGCCATCTCTCTCCAACACTACTACCACTACCACTACTTAGCGCCCTGCGCTGAAGACTACTCCTACAGCTACTAGCGCCCAGCGCTGAANAGCTGGAGCGATGGCGCCACAGGTAAGTACCACTGGCCTCCGCCAGTCTCTCTCCCACTCTACGATCTACCACCTACCAGCGCCCAGCGCTGAAGACTACAGCTACAGCTATGGCGCCCAGCGCCAAAGACTACAGCTAGCGCTAAGACCAGCTAGCGCTAAGACCACCTAGCGCTGAAGACTACTGCAGCGCTCCTCCTGAGTGCTGCGGCCGAATCCTGAAGACTACCTCCTGCCTACTGAACTACCTACCCGTGAAGTGCATGGGAACTTCCTATGTACTACCGGGTGTGCCTCCTGAGCCTGCCGAAGGGAGGCAGGGGCTGCAGCTGCAGCTCCTGCTCAAACTCGTGAGGAACAGGCTATTCTTGGCCTGTTCCGCATCCCTGTTTACGAGCCTGAGTCTTAGGGGCAGGTCGAAACAATGAGGGCCTGAAAATGGCCCTCCGTTTCAGGCTGAAAACTCTGGGTCTGAAAAGACCCAGAAATAGGCTGAAACGGGGTAGGGCCTGCAGGCCCTCGTTTTTCAGCTTTCAGGCTGAAACGAACGGGGCCGTAAGCCCTAAGTTTTAGGCTTTTAGGCTGAATGTCCGGGACGGGCCCTGTAGGACCCGTGTGGCTACGCAGTATGCCACACCCCCCCCTCCTTGAAGAACCGAGCTTACCTGCGAGGGCGAAGCTGTCTGTCTGAGGGAGGGACCACAGTCCGGGTGGGAGGGGCTGGTCGTGAAGCTTCGTGAGCTAACCTCCGCTTTTCATAATGCGCGTAGATCAGTGGTGCGGATGTTTTCAAATCTGCGCCTGAAATCCACCGAGTGTCGTCGCGATCGCATGCTTTAAATGTGACTTTGTACTGCCGCGGCTTGCTGTCGTACTTGCGATCGGAGATGACGCGGTCAATTTCCTGATGGCCATCCATATAAGGAGGGTCCTGCGATCATCGGTCCGGAAAGTCGTCGCTCTTGGGTGGCGTGTATGTTGCCAGCTTCGAGGCGTGGAAGACCGGATGGACCGTCAGATGCTCTGGAATGTTGATCACAAATGAAGGGTCATCGGGCTCATCGCCCGCGGCTGCTGTCACAGACCAAGGTCCAAACCACTTGGGAAGCAGTTTGCGTGAAACATCCTGTTCCAGTGCAAACTCTTCCGGGGAGACCCAAACCAGATCACCGGCCTGGATGGAACATGGTACGCGACACCTGTTGGCTTGCTGCTGCATGCGGACTTGAGCCTTTTGCATATTTGCGCGGGCTTGAGTTAGCAATTCCCTGTACTTCCGGACGGAAGCGGGAGAGCAGGCAGCGTCAGTGTCGGTTGGTCGAGGGAGGAGAAGGTCCGCGAAGATCAGGCCTTTCCGTCCACCGTGGTGCAACTCGAATGGAGTCACGCCGATCGCCGGATGCACCGAAGTGTTGTAGGCGAACTCGATGTTGGGGAGGCGGTCAACCCAATCTTTCTGGTCCGGACGGATGAGCGTACGAAGCATCATTTGAGCGGTTTGATGTGCCCGCTCCATCTGCCCGTCTGTCTGAGCATGTCGAGCCGAACTTGGTTTCATTGTTGTGCCGGACTCCTGCATGAGAGCAGTCCAAAACGCCTACATGAAACGAGTGTCGCGGTCACTGACAATGTCTTCTGGTACACCGTGGCCACAACTCCAACCAGTGTGCAGGAGGCGTGCCAGCTCGGGAGCCGTGGAGTAGTACTTGCAAGGGAGAAAACGCGCGTACTTACTCAATYGGTCCACAACCGTGAGGATGCCGTCGTGCCCGAGCCGGTCGCAAGGAAACGGACCGGTGACGTCCATGGCAATGGAGAGACCGGGTTCCCGTGGGATAGGCATCGGGTGTAACTCGCCGTAGGGATTGCGGTTGCGGGGCTTGCTGCGTCGGCAAACTTCGCAAGAGTCGCAATACCGAGTGACATCGGTAATGAGGTCGGGTCATCGGAATCGCTGTCGAAGCCGTGCAACAATGCGGTTGACTCCGAAATGGCCGGCGAGTCGTGAATCACGATACTCGCCGAGGAGGCGAGTCCGAAGACGGCGGTCGCGTGGGACACATAGTAAGTCCTTGCCTCTCGAGTGGAGTAGCAAGTACCCGTCGGCAATGCGGTAATGGCTGGCGGGCAGGTAATCCGAAGATAGTTGTGCATAGAGCGTGCCGAAGTCCGGATCAAACTGATATGCCCGGATGAAGTGTCGCTGAAGCTCCTCGTCGAATGCGAAGGCATGATGTGTCATAGCGCAAATTTCAGGTCTTCGTGAGAGTGCATCTGCTGCGCGATTGGAGAGGCCGGGGACATGTTTCGATGTGAAGTCAAATTGGTCGATGAAGTACATCCATCGTCCGATCGTACTAGTCACCGTGTCCTGCGTCTTATAGTAGGTCAATGGATTGTTGTCTGGGACCCATGTGAACCTACGACGCCCAAGGAGGAAGTGCCGCCAACGCTTGAGAGCCATCACGAATGCGAGCAGCTCCTTCTTCCTTGCATCATCAAGCGAGTTGATGGGAGGCACTTTGTGGMTGAAATACTCCACAGGGTGCCAGTCGTCGCCGTCGTGCTGTTCCAAGACTGCCCCAATGCCATAGTCGGAAGCGTCTGTAGTCACTCGCGTCGGCAGGGTGGGGTCATAAATGCTAAGGACAGGTGCCATGAGCATAGCCGTCTTAAGTGCTTGGAATGAGCGGCGTGCGTCGTCATCGAATACGAATGGCACCTTTGGCGACTGTAMCCTCGTCATAGGTGCAGCAATCCTGGAGTATCCGGTGATGAATCGCTGATAGTAGCCCGCCARYCCCATGAATGAHYGAACGTCCGTGGTGTTGGTGGGCTCGGGCCATACTCGTAGGGCCTCGATCTTGTCCGCGAGCGGACGGATGCCTTGCGGCGTCACATAGTGTCCCAAGTACTCCAGCTCCTGCTGTGCGAACTCGCACTTGTCGCGGTTTGCTTTGTACTTGGCTTGTCGTAGCCGCTCCAAAACGGTGCGCAGGTGCTCCACATGCTCGTCCAAACTCCGACTATACACCAAGATGTCGTCGAGGTAGATGAGTACAAACCGATCCAGCATGTGTCGGAACTCAGTTGTCATAGCCGCTTGGAAAGTGGCTGGGGCATTCGTAAGGCCAAACGACATGACCAGCCATTCGAAATGCCCATACCGTGTCTTGAACGCAGTCTTGTAGCGATCCTCCTTGCGAATCTCGAGTTGGTGGTACCCTGACTTGAGATCCAGCTTAGAGAAGAATTGGGCGCCGCCCAATCGCTCGAGAAGGTCATCGATGCGTGGGAGAGGGCCGACGTTGTGCGTTGAGTTTGCGATAATCGATGCACAACCGCAGGTCCTTGTTCTTCTTCCGGACGAAGAGAACAGGAGCACCGTATGGCGATGAGCTAGGCCGAATCCAGCCTTTCTCTAGAAGGTCGTCGAGTTGTGCGCGGAGCACACTTAACTCTTCCTCGCTCATGCAACTGCGCGGAGTTACGGCCCCGTCCTCGAGGATGATCTCCTGGCGGATGGGTCGATCCAGTACTACCCCGTGCGGGCCTTCGAACTCACCGTTGTAGGCGTCGAAAAGTTCAGTGATGCGTGGATCCGAAGGTGAGTCCGTTGATAAAGCGTCATGAGGCGGGAGGGCATGGAAAAAACACACCCCCATCTCCTCGATGTCGTCTCTGATGATGGAARCTCGCATGCTTGCGGCGGATACCACGTGGCAGCTGATCGAAGGATGAGGAAAAGGCACCGTGCATGGAACTAGTACTCCATTCCGATCACGAATGTGAACGGTGCGGTGGAAGAAGTTCACCGGGTGATCCTCGCTTCGCAGCCATGACATGCCCAAGATCATGTCTAATTTGGTGTCCAGAATGTCAAAAGGACACCGCGTCACTTGCGTGAGGGGCAAAGTACACTGGGACGTTGTCAATGCACCGATCGATTGACTTGTGCGTGTGACCGTCCGCCAACGTGACTTGCGTAGGTTGGGACTTCCTCCGGACGCGTGGGCCAAGGCCGCCGCGCACCATGAAGTCCTGGCTGATGTAGTTGCGAGATGCTCCGCAATCGATTAAGGCACTGCAGGTCGCCTCTCCAATCTGAATGCGTACGTATAGCAATGGTGCGTCGATGTCGTCGTACCGTTGCGTCTTGAACTCGCGGTCGATCTTCTCGATGTAAGCGTGAAGGTCGACAACCTCTGCTCCGGCGTCCATCAACGGAGCTGGTACTGCAGTGTGCAAGTAGTCCCGCAGTTGTGCCATGAGCACATTCCAATGCGGTTTCAACAATCGTCCGGTCGAGGGAACGGGCATCCATTGGAAGTTCGTGAACGTCAATGGGTCGAGCTCTTCAAGTCTTGACCATGACGTCGAATCCCCGGCGATAGGTTGCGGCGAAGGTGCCGAATCGGTTGCCGATGGTGATGAAACCGTGCATGCGATGGATTGTTGCACGTGGAGCGGTTGGTGCAGCGGTGGAACCAAGTGGACAGCATAGTCCTCGTAAGTGTATCGAGGACTTGCGACATTCGCGTTCTCCCCAGATGTGCAGGAGGCCGCTAGCAAGGCGGCCAAATATGGCGGAGTAGAAGGTGGAGTCGCCTCACCTTCCGCGGAGTTCAGTTTCCCGAGCTGAGGCGGGGTCGCAGATCCTCCTTGCCCTGATCTTGGCACAAAGAGGTCTTGTGCTTGGTGCTGTTGCACCAATAGCAGCTGCCATAGCGGTCGCGGACCTTGTACTCCACCTCGGTCAAGCTTTACTTGACCCATGGAACTTGTACTGGCTGTCCATTTCCGGCCTGCGGTGCGGATTTCGCCGTCCCATTGTTGCGGGACTTGTTGCTTCGCGGCTGGACAGCAGCCACCTGATCTCCGTCACTTGATGTTGGAGTGGCTGCTGGGTTATCTCCACTGTCCTGCTGGACTGCAGCGAAGTGCTGCTGTCGCGGACCAGTTCGTACCTTCTCCACATAGGTCGGCTGCCATGGTGACTTCTCGTGTGCAGCTGACCTGTTGGTCTTGATGATCTCCCTCGCCTTGTCAATGATTTTAGCGAAGGTTGAGTATTGCTCGCGATCACCAAGAGTCTAGCTCAATGCCGCACAGGATCTGTTGTAGAACTCACGTCAAAGATGAGTGAAAGACAGATCCAGATTAGGCACTGCCGCAATCTTCTGCCACTCCGTGAGCCAGTCCCGTGTTGCAGTGTCGCCCTGTGACATGGTGAACAGACGGTTGATGGCGAGTGTCGGCGCGTCGTCGACTATGAACCGCTTCTTCCACAGTCGTGTCAGTTCCTCCCATGTGATTTTGTCCTTCAAGTCTGGTACGTCGACGTCGTGGGAGGTTGCCAGGTGGCTCAACCAGGTCTGGCATCCGCCCTTCGAGTTCAGGAATAGGGCGCCGATGTACGCATGCTTGGCTACGGGCAGAATCCTGAGTTGCGTTGTGAATGTTTCCCACCATAGGACCGGATCCTGCTGCGTGTAGTCGTCGAACCTCTCTCGATTGAAAGTTGGCATCTTATACATCTTCGGGTTGCCATCCGCGTTCGTCGTCTGCAGCTGCTGGATCTCGGTCTTCAATGTATGCAGCTGACTGCTGATGGTGGTGGTCGGCGCAGCGAAAGTGCTGATGTCGCCGAGCATTGCCACTACGTGGTCAACGTGGTCCTCCAGTTGGCGGCTAGAGGGTGCACTGCTGGAAGCCCCAGTAGTTGGTCTTGGTACAGCCTGTTCCAAGTCCAGCAATCGGGTATTGAGTGCCCGAGTTGCATCCTCGTGGCTCTGCACCATGCGGCGGAGCTTTGCCAACTCCTGATGCTGTTGCGTCAGGTCCTGGTACTGTCTCTCCAATTCTGACCGTTGGTAGTTGCAAGCGTACAACAACCTTGTCACGAGTTTGGAGAGGAACTCCTTGTGCTTCTCTTCCGGTGTTGCCTCGTCGTCGTTCGGTTCAAAATGTCAGAACTTGAGTCTGTCGATGTTGTTGGCTTCATGCCGCTGCAGCAGATCCTGGGCTTCCTAGCGGCGAGCCTGGGCATCTGCGTCTGCATCGGCCTGTAGCTGCAGTTGCTCTGCTGCTGCTGCCTCTTCAGCCTGTACGCGGGCAGCCTCGGTTGCCAGATGGCGTTGTTCCTCAGCCTCGATCTGAGCCTGGAACCGCTGCTTGTAGGCGGCAAGGGACTCGTTGGGCAGTTGCCCTGGCAGGCCCGTCATGTTGCTGACGTGGCACTGCTGCTTACGTGGCACTGCTGATGTGGCACTGCTGACGTGGCCATGTGTCTGACGTGGTACTGCTGACGTGGCACTGCTGACGTGGTACTGTGTCTGACGTCACTGCAGACGTGGCACTGTGTCTGACGTGACACTGTTGTCGTGGCACTATGTCTGACGTGGCACTGTGACCTGGCACTGCTGACGTGGCACTGCTGATCTAGCACTGTGACGTGGCACTGCTGACATGGCACTGTGACTTGGCACTGTGACGTAGCTCTGCTAACATGGCATTGCTGATCTGGCACTGTTACGTGGCACTGCTGACGTGGCACTGTATTGAACCGGGATGCATGCAAGGGGTGGGTGGGAGGGAAAACGGAGGTAGGTAACCAACCCAACAATCTTTCCTCCGGCCCTAATTAACAGATAAAATAAAATAAAAATAAAAGAGGACCACTTCCCTTTTTTTTTTTATATATATCTGTCGATCTATGTTGAGTAGGATATGTCAGAAGAGTATTATGAACGAGATCTAGGCTAGGTTCCGCAAAGTTTCAGCTTTTACAAACTGCGATCTTGAAGAAAAAAAAATTGTGAAATGGAGAAAAGATGCGATTTTCAGAAAAGAACGATATCCAGTTTCTGAGAATATGGCAACCTCCGAATATGCCTAACGCAATATTGGTAGGCTTCGCAAGATTCGGTTTTCAAAAAAAAAATTGCGAGATAGAATGGAAATGCGATTTTCAGCAAAGAATAATTCCAGTTTCCGAGAATATGACCACTTCTATCGTTATCCCAATATGCCTAGAGAACGAAAATACTAACTTCAGAAATTTCAGCTATGTATGCGAAATATCAGAGAAACAAAATGCTACTATCGGGAATTTTCAGACAAAACGAAATGCGATTTATCATAAATTTTCAGATATTTGCTATGTAAAAACGAACTACTAATATCAGAAATTTTCAGGTAAAACGAAATGCGAATATCAGAAATTTCAGATAGTTATTGCGAGAATTTTTTTCTATAGAGATTTGACTAAGTCCTACTTGCGTTACTAATGAGTGATCAATAGATCGCAAGCTGGCTACTTGATTGAGCGGGTCCTCTGAATGAGAGGTCCGCTCCGATACCAAACTGTTGCATACTGTAACGTGCAGACCAAAACAAGAACCGACCTTTCAATACAAAGTATAAGATAGCACAACGGAAGACTTAGATACCAGTGATCCGAACAATCAGTGTTGCAATGCAGCCCTGAACATACATCATCATCATCGTTACATGGTGTGAATGGGGCCTGGCGCTTCACACAGGAAGACTGCGCCAGCCCATACCATACACAGACGAAGAGGAAGGGGATAGACGAAGAGGAGGGGGAAGATGGGAATGTCGTCAACACCAAGTCTTCGGCACAAGCCCAAATAGTCCCTCGTCGAAATGTCTGAATCCCAAATGTCAAGTCTGGATCCAATGTCGTCAAGTCTCAAGTCACAACTCTGTCTCTCTCTATCGTAGTCTGAGAAGTCAGGTGGCAAGAGGGTGAGAAGAGAAGGTGGACTTAGAAGAGGAGAAGAAGAACTCTCTCTCTCTCTCTCTCTCTCTCTCTCTCTCTCTCTCTCTCTCTCTCTCTCTCTCTCTCTCTCTCTCTGTCCAGTACTAACCTGTGAAGTTGGNTGTCCAGTACTAACCTGTGAAGTTGGCGCCGTGATGCAGGTACCACGAAGATGGAGCTGGAGCGATGGCGCCACAGGTAAGTACCACTGGCCTCCGCCAGTCTCTCTCCCACTCTACGATCTACCACCTACCAACGCCCAACGCTGAAGACTACAGCTACAGTTATGGCGCCCAGCGCCGAAGACTACAGCTAGCGCTACTACTACTAGCGCTAAAGACTACTGCAGCGCTCCTCCTGAGTGCTGCGGCCGAATCCTGAAGACTACCTCGTGCCTACTGAACTACCTACCCGTGAAGTGCATGGGAACTTCCTATGTACTACCGGGTGTGCCTCCTGAGCCTGCCGAAGGGAGGCAGGGGATGCAGCTGCAGCTCCAGCTCAAACTCGTGAGGAACATGCTATTCTTGGCCTGTTCCGCATCCCTGTTTACGTTCCTGAGTCTTAGGGGCAGGTCGAAACAATGAGGGCCTGAAAATGGCCCTCCGTTTCAGTCTGAAAACTCTGGGTCTGAAAAGACCCACAAATAGGTTGAAACGGGGTAGGGCCTGCAAGCCCTCGTTTTTCAGCTTTCAGGCTGAAACGAACGGGGCCTGTAAGCCCTAAGTTTTAGGCTTTTAGGYTGAATGTCCGGGACGGGCCCTGCAGGGCCCGTGTGGCTACGCAGTATGCCACCCTGCCCCTCCGACGACCGACTTACCCTGTCGTGCCCCTGGGGCCTCTGAAGTTTCCTGCAGGCCGCTGCCAGTCAGGCATGCAACTTTGCAGGATGCCCTTGTGGCTACTGGTGGCACTCGCGGCTGTTCCCCAGGCCCTGGGAGGGGAGCCATGATAACCGGGGCATACTGAAAATTTGGAACCCGTATCGGGTAGGGGTATATTGAACATGTTTAAGGGCCAAACGGTGCCAGGGGCTCCTCAGAAACTTCAATCTTTGTCAGAGGGGCGCGATAGGGTAAGTCGACCGTCAGAGGGGCGCGATAGGGTAAGTCGTCCTTCAGAGGGGCGCGATAGGGTAAGTCGACCGTCACAGGGGCATACCGCAATTAAATGGAAGTTGGAGGGACATTTCAAAAAAATTCTCTTGTTTTTTTTCAAAAAAGGTAAGCTACATTCAGTGAAAAAAAAAACCCTGCTATATTGATGTTCATGGAGTGCATGTATAAGTTATGTTGCACTGACACATAGCGCTCACAATCTATCTCTTTTACAGAGTCCACTATGGACCTCGCTCCACTACTTTCCGCATGCAAGGAAGACAAAAAATATGGCAGTGTATAATTTTATGTTTCTAACATGTTCTAGCGGACGATTCGTTCTCATTCTGCATTTTTCGCTGATAGTGGAAGGAGGGTCTATGTGATAGATAGATAACTCATGTTCTTGCGAAAGATTCATTCTCATTTTGCACATTTGGAAAGTATTGGCGCAAGACCCTATGTAATCGATAGATAATTCTCTTCATGTGAAAGTCTAGTGCACAAAAGTGGTCGTCCTATTTATTAGCGATTAGCTCAAGTAGTTATGCAACAATATTAAAACCCTATCATACAAGAACTCCAATTTTGGTCATACATCCCTTATCTAGTACAACAGCCAACTGTTTATTACAAATGTGTGTGTGACCCACCTACTTAGTCAATCTACGAAAAGGATATCAGGGGTGGTGGTGGTTTGAAGGAAATAAAATTAGAAAAACATGCCTTGGTTCATACATTTCTTGGTAAATAAATAGTGGTCGTAAAAGTTTATCAAAATGGATATACTCTTGACGACCCCTGTTCAATATTAGGGTAGCGAACGTGAGTTGGAATGGGGAAGTCTAGTGGACCGTTAGGTGTTGTGGTTGAAGTAGATAAACCTATTGCACATTAATTTGTCCGTTTCGTCGAGGTATAGGACATTGC